TTCAATGTAACTCACTCCCAAATGCAGTGTACATAACCCCAGTGTATACATGCATGTACATACGCATCCTACCAAAAGACGTTAAAAGATGATACTTCTTGTTACCCTGCCTGGTGCTCAACATTAGTGGAAAAATGGATTGACTTTTTGGCTCGGAAAAGGATATCTGAGTGGGATATCCATGTTAAACTGCAGCATGGTATTTCAGTGGGTTAGCACTATAAAGCCACTATTTGTCCTGACTTGTATGCATGCATGCTCGCACGCTGCTTAGCAGCTATGTAAGTGTAAAAATATCTTGAATGGGACGTTAAGCCTCACCTTACCTTTAAAAACGTGTTGCATAAAATACATATCATCTGCCATCTTTACTTAACTCCCTGTTAAATTTATCCCTTCTTCTTGTCAGTATTTCACCAACTAGATTCTTGTACAATCCCATTTTTCTTTGCAAATTATGTTCATATGTTGTATTTATATAAGCTTATTATAGGTTGTTTATGTTAAAAATACTCAAATATTATACAAAAATGTAAATGAGAGCCACATAAATGTGTTTTGCTCAATCCCATTGTTCATTCAGACAACAAACATGTTAAAACTAAACCCTGTAAAAAAGTTATTCAAAGATTCTCAAGCAGGTCTAGTTTCAAGTTTGTCACAATAATAGTTTCATCACTATCTGAACATAAAGAAATTCTCTTGGCTCATTTCTATTACATACTAAAACATAATTTAACACTTCAAAACCATAACTATTTTCATTTCAGAGACTTAATGTAAGTCTACAAATGTGTATGTCTACAAATGTCTAAGCTACAAGACTTATAAAACAAAGATAATATATTTACATCTGTAGAAGGATGAATGACTTCCTACATCATCTAATTCTATACATTGACAGAAACTCTTCCTTTGAGACCAACAGCAACTAACAGCAACAAACATCGTCTTCAGTTTTTCTCTATTTTCTTGTCTTTGCATGATCAGCATGTTCGACTTAGCATCCTTTGATTTACACAGGGAGGTAGGTCTCTCACCGTGTACAAGTGATGCTCAGAGCCGACCTTCAGCATTGCTGCAGAGAGCCAGGACTCCCTGTTATGAGGGTTCCAAAACCTCTGACCTCTGACCTTACACAAGGCTGAGTCAACTCTTGCTTTGACAGTGGACAAAGAGAAGCAGTTATCCTCACAGTGTCAAACTGCGCTGATTTGGGGGAACCAGCGCTTAGAGAGGTGTGAACAACTACAAACTCAACATTGAGTTCTGAGGGGACACTGGTGGTCATCAGCATGATCAGTTGTAAACCAACACAACAGTTTAACATGGACAGCCCTGCAGGGAGTTATCTTGGATTCCAAACTAAGTGCCTTTGGCAGGCAACTTGGGAAAAAAAACATTCATTTGTTACAATTGTATTTTGTGCCAAAAAATGTTTTCCATAAATGGAGTTAATATTTTCTAAAATACTAAATCTTCGAATTGAATTCAATGTAATAATGTAAAACAAATCATTTCAGCCTCTTCATCATATTCATTATCCTTTAATATCAGCTGAGGGTGGTAGGGTGGCATAGTGTTTCAAGCATTCACTTGTCATGTCAAAGACCCAGGTTCAATTCTCTACATTGGTACAATGTGTGAAGCCCATTTCTAGTGTCCCCCACCATGATATATATGGCATATTGCTAAAAGCGGCATAAAACCCTACTCATTTACTCGTGTCTGTTATATAAAAGTCACGGCTGTAAAGCCTTACGATTAGTTTTAACTTTGAAACATGAATTGGGATTTTCTTAATGACATTTACTAGAGACTTAGGCTTGTACTAACCCAGACTAGTTTTCCAGTGCGAGCACACCGAGATGCAATGCCACAGTTTAGTATGGATACCCAACTCAGACACAGTATACTGACTCTAAGCCTACCAGTCCTTGTTTTATTCCCGAAATCTCGAGCACCACACAGGTTAACAACAAGTACGATCTTATAACATCTTTTGGTATGGTTTGTTTGTTTGTTTATTTGTTGTTTAATGCCGTACTCAGCAATATACCAGCTATATGACGGCGGTCTGTAATAATCGAGTCTGGACTAGACAATTCAGTGATTGACATCATGAGCATCGATCCACCCAATTGGGATCGACGACATGCTTCAACCAAGTCAGCGAGCCTGACCACTCGATCTCGTTAGTCGCCTCTTACGACAAGCATAGTCGCCGTTTACGGCAAGTATGGGTTACTGAAGATCTATTCTACCCCGGATCTTCACTGGTCTTTTGGTATGGCTTGGCCAGGGATCAAACCACTGACCTTACACTCTCCAGGCAGACACACTATCCACTAGGCCACGGAGGCAGTCATATGTTTGGAATTCATTGCCAAACATAAAAAGACGTAAATACAGATATAACACCACCACATGTACTGCCAAAGAGCATTCACTCACACAGCCATGCATTCAACAATATTAGGTGACATGTGAAAAAGTTTTATCAAATGGTTCACTTAATGAGGAAACAAATGGTCTTAACAAGGGCAAAAGTGAGCGTGGCTCACTAATACCCTTGACCCGCCTAGTGTGTCAGTTGTTTCAAATTAAATAATGGATAGGGTTAGGGTTTGAAAAATTCATAAAAAAATGGAAAATTAATAAAAACAATTTTTTTTCTTTTGACTGCACCCCTCCATATGACACAGATTATATGTACTAAGTTTGAGATGAATCCACTGAATAGTTTAAGAGAAATCGCGCGGACAAGGTTTTCGGACTGACGGACGGACGGAACCTTTGTATAACTACATACCCTCAACCTAAAAGCCAGAGGGTATAACAAGAAGACACTGGAAACTAGGGCTGCAACGAATACACTATGAGGCGATTACAATTTGTATCATGAATATACGGTAACGAATAAGAATATTAAATTACGAATACAATAACAAGTCTGCAGTTGATTTATTATTTGTTATATTCATTGAAAAAATAACAACATAAATTATTGAAATGGTTTGTTAATTATTAATTGTTATACATTTATATAACGCACTTATCCAGGTACAAGTATCTGCTCAAATGCGACAATAACCAGTGACCACAATACTGTCAAATTAATATTATAAGAGTGTTGTCTTTGAAGAAATCTATGCACATAATGTTCTTATGGATATTTTTAGGTACAGGGTATGTAAATGCACATGATTGCATAATTATAAATATTTTCGATTCTAGTGGCAACAAATAACGAAATCAATTCATGAATGGATACGTTTTGATTCACTGAATATGCGAGTGAATCGTAACAGCCCTACTGCAAACCTATGTAGCTGTGTATGGACTACCAAATAGCAATACTGGTAAAAACATACCGCGATAGACATTGTGATAGATCATATTGCAAACCTTCAAAACTCAGGTGTACTGTTAAGTCCTTGTATTTTGTATTATGAAGTATAAGAAAAACACACTTATTTGATATTTTGAGCAGGATACATGAAAGCAATGGTTTGTGTCCACTAACGTGTCAAAAATATTATTCAGTAAGCCAAATGTAAGGTTAATTCCAGTCATAAACTATACAACATGCAAGACTTAAATGGAAAATATGAGTACAAGTGTTATTGTTGGAGTGTGTCAGTTAGGTTTTAGGCTGAATTATAGCAATATTCCCTGAACATCAAGTGGGGGAAAACAGAAATGGGCTTCACACATTGTACCCAAGTGAGTGATAATGGTTTTACGCCGCTTTTAGCAATATTCCAGCAATATCACGGCGGGGGACACCAGAAATGGGCTTCACACATTGTACCCATGTCGGGAATCGAACCCGGGTCTTCAGCGTGACGAGCGAATGCTTTAACCACTAGGCTACCCGACCGCCCTGTACCCAAGTGGGGAATCGAACCTGGGCATTTGGCATGAGTTAACGGTTTAACTAGGCTACCCCACCACCTCATGGAAAGGTATGCAATGGTATAATGATAATAACGAAATAAAAGAACAAGAAAGTTAATTGATCACTTTCATCCACTGTATTAATCACGACAATTAATTTTGTTTAACTCAGCATCTTATTAGATAATTCAAATAACATATTTAACTTCAGTTGATCGTTCAACATTCAAGATATATTCCTGACAACACAATAGTTATTCTGTTTTAAAAGGGGGCTTTATTTAGTGCAAATGGCAGGCTAGCTATTATTCAACTTTCTCAAATAACTGTGTCTGATTTTTCAAATGTTTTCAATCTGGCACTAATGATTCCCCTAATTAGTAATTGCACAGACCTAATGTATTGTTTCACATATACCACTAATAACAATGTCTAGACCACAACTGCTGAGCACAGTCTCTATGTTGTCAAGTGGCAAATCATGATCGAGTCATTATTTGCGTTTCTGTGAGGAAATTTGGAACAGAGATGCTTCAGGAATTTATGTCATGCTTACAAATTATAAAGGATTGACAAAACTGCTTTTGAAGTGTATGTAAGAAGGATTGCACATCAAACAGCGGCACAATTCTTGATGGATAACAACATGTTTCGTCATATTGTCAAGACATTTCAAAGACTGACAGATTAAATTTCCCATAAAACAGCAACAAGGCGTTGTCGTGAGTGACATTACAAGTACTGTATGATGTATCACAATGATTAACAGCTAGGCATAAACATTTAAATGATGACACGACATATATAAGAACAAATTTCCCAATAACAGTGAATCAACCTAATATTCAATCGTATCCATCTGTGTCTCGCGACGCCGGGTTGTGTCTTGACATATCCAGACACACGCGAGTGAGACTTGTCACAAAGTAGAATACCTGAAATTTATGACAACATCCCTCGCCTACCAGCCTTGAGCCGACAGTCGAGTCACTGGTTCATTTACAGGTGTGTCAACTTTCTTTCAGGTCTTAAATCGCCAATAAAAGCAAATCGCGGGTAACTCCCACAGGATGACATGATACAAAAATCAGTTCTCTTACCTTCAAATATATGTCCTAGAGCAACTTGTAGACAGCAGTGTGTATTCCACCTTGCCCCACTTGGTTTAGTTCCTTGCTGAGATGTGTACACTCATACCAGTGACGTAAGCCTCAATAACCGTGATGAAGAGGGCAGGGCACCTGTTCATACTGATTGTCTACAACTTATCATTTCTGAAACGCGTACGCCTTGCAACGTGAAGCGAACGTAAAATATTGACATATCGACGTGAGATGCGTATTTCTACTGTAATTTCTAGCTGAAAGCTGGGTGCGATTGTCGTAGATTTTATCACTGTGTCATTAAAAGCGCATTTAATTTTATCTCGCATGAGGCAGAGCTAAGGTAAAAACATCAAATTTGTAAGAAACAAAAGGAAACCATCTGTCCAAAACGAAGTTCGGTAGCCTGGTGGGAGTTCAAAGACAAGCCCTGAAAAGTGACTTTTCATGGTATTTCAAAACATTTATTAGTTACAAAAGCCCAAGATCATTATGGCAGTGTCTTCTAAAACGAGGACAACTTATATTTCTCAAATATGTCAGCGCCGAAATGGTTTAAGTAGGTTATAGTACATTAATAGGTTCGTACGCATAACATTAAGCTGACCTGTGTGCACACCAAAGTACGGCTCAGTCGTGCACAGCTGACATTTTAACCAGATATTCAGCATCAAGAAAACGACGAGACTGGTCACCAAATATGTGTACCAAACCTATGAAGACCATTGAGACAAACGCAAACAAAATGTGGTAACCCATTGTGGAGATCAAAATAATATTGACACGTGAATTGTACAATTTTGTGTTTTCCTCCACACATACTCGCTGTACCTGCTCCTTAAGAGCTTCACGGGCCCCTGAAGGAGGATAGTGTATTACTGTAAACACCGGACCAATATATATATATAAAACAATAACCACTACCACTACTGGTGTCGTGAAAATCCGGGGTAGGTCTTCAGCTACCCATGCTTGCCGTAAAAGGCGACTGTGCTTGTCGTAAGAGGCGACCAACGGGATCGGGTGGTCAGGCTCGCTGACTTGGTTGATTCATGTCATTGTATCCCAATTGTGTAGATCGATGTTCATGATGTCAATCACTGGATTGTCTGGTCCAGACTCGATTATTTGCAGACCCTCGTCATATAGCTGGAATATGGCTGAGTGCGGCGTTTAACAAGAAACAGACAGAACAGACAAACAGTTGGTCTTCAGCAACCCATGCTTGTCGTTAGATGAGGTGAAATGGGGTCCAAGATTATTGCACTTATATAGCGACGTGCATGCACACGTGTGTTTGTTTGTGTGTGTGTTTGTACTAGTCTGAGCTGATGCAGATTTACAGTACTAGCCTACTGAGATACCATGCGGCAGTTTAACATGAATACCCCACTCACAGTATACTGACTCCGAGCCAACCAGTCTTTGTTTTAGTCCCTTAATGCCGAGCGCGTGAGAGGGTACAACAAGTACCATCTTTTAACGTCTTTAGGTATTATGCGGTCGGGTATCGAACCCCGGACCTTGTGTTCTCCGGGCGGACGCTCTACCACTAGCCCATGCACGGAGGCGGTCCTTGTCGTAAGAGGGGACTGACTGGATCGGGTGGTCAATGCTCGCTGTCATGGTTGATGCATGTCATCGTATCCCATTGGAGTAGATCGATGCTCATGATGTCAATTCCTGGATGTCTGTTCCAGACTCGATTATTTACAGACCGCCGTCATATAGTTTGGAATATTGCTGAGTGCGGCAAACAAACTAACAAACAAACAATTATCGAAACAATTACTGGTCTTCAGCAACCAATGTTTGTCTAGTCTGTCTTACAGTCCCTGAACCATATTATTTTCCTTTCAGTAATGCAATAATGTAGCAAGTATAGAATTTCCTCAGGTTCAAGCTCGGAATCTCCCATCTCGCTAGGGCTCCTTTTCAATTGAATTGGAGTTATATGTTTTTAATATCAAAATTATGTATTTTCAGAGACTAAGCGTTAGTCTAATATTTGTAAGAGGCGACTAACGGGTTCGGGTGGTCAGGATATCCTTTCCTTAGTATGTCATCTTTCCAAAAGTACTTTCCCTGTAATGATATTTTGGTTACATTTCTGCGTCAAGAGACGCATTGTCTTCTAAAGCATTTGAACGTGAATAAAACCATAATATAGTTTCCTTCACGATTTTGCAATGACGTCACTGTTTATCAGTGGGCTCTGACAAGATGGCCGACCTCCACCAGCTAGGGGTGTTGGCCTGTACACCCATGAAACAAAAGTTTTTACAAGCATTTTTAACTCTTTTTTCACGAAAAAAATAACAAGACAAAATTGTTGATAACTTATTTGCTACATCATAGATGAATATAAAATCACCCTGATTATATAATTACCCTACTCTTAAAAATAACGTTTATGATAATATCCTCTGGGTAATTATTTGACATCCGAAAAGTTCAAACAGCTGATAAGGGATATCTAATAACAACGAACTCAACTTTTATTTTAGAATTTTTTACTCAAATGAATTTTTTGCTCGAATGTGTGTACGAAGCAGAGTATGTGAGGACAAAGAAATATCTATTTTATATTGTTAGCAAATGTATTGTTTCGTCACTAAATACATATCAAATATGTATTTTCTCCACTGTTAAATGTTGTACATAATAATAACAGGATAAGTCTACAACAACCTGAATATTAAAATTGTACATATTTGTCCTTTTATATATGTAATAATTATGTTTTGTTTTGTTTAACATTTACAGAATATATAACATAGTATTTTATTACAGCACCGCCCACTCAATCGGAAGGTCTTCGTGCAGATTCCTCATTAGAATTTGCCCCCAGCAAACCATGCTGGTTGTAAGAGGCGAGTTAACGGATCGGGTGGTTAGGCTCGGTGACCTGCGTGATTGAATGTCAATGTAACCCGATGGCGTGGATCGTTGCTCACAATATCGATTTCTGGATTGTCGGGTCCAGACTCGATTGTTTATAGGCCGCGGTAGCTGGAATATTGCTGACTGCGGCGTTAAACAACAAACAAACAAACAAACAAACAAACAGTGGGAAGGTAGTATCAAGGTGCAGTGACCCGTATCCCTTAGATGTCGTCCTCACCCACATCACACAGGACAGCATTAGCAGTGTTAGATGTGGTGTAGACCTTATTCGTGTTGAAACGGGGCGTAATGATGGGACTGTTTTAAATGAGAGAGTCTGTTTTGTAAAAAAATGTTGTCGAGGATGAACGTCATATTTTTAAAACTGTCCGTTATTTGGCAAAGAAAGATCTCTCTTACTCAACACAACTGAATGTGATCATTTAAAAAAAGATAATTACCTGCAAAATAAGTCATATATTATCCACCTCGATAAATGCCTTCTTACTGCCAAAACCTACCATTTTATATTTCTAAAGCGAAAATCTTATTTATATAACTATTATCACTTTAAACATGCCTTCCTGTACATTTATATTAAACTGAATGTATATATCACGAACATCTTAGTTTATTATACATTTATATAATAGTCTTTCATAACTTCATATAAGAGTGACTCAAATTTGATTGGCTTTTTTACTGTAAACTCAATGTATTTTTATTGAGGTGAGACTATACTAAACAATCAGTCGGTCTGCCTCTCTGGCATGTAGTGGTTACTGGCTGCTGTTGGCGATAGTGATGGAGATTGATGCTAGTTGACGTGTTGATTGTTGTTGATTGTTTATTGGGATTTTATTACAACACATGACATACCACTGTAGTTTGCTTATTCATGCGATGTTAATTGATATATCTTCCTATCAGACATGGATTATGTAACGGAGTTCGTTTTGTATATGTTTATTTGGCATCAATTAATAGTTTACACACCGGATGATGTCGGGTTATCAGAGAAGAATTATGTAACGGGGCTGATATTTATTATTAATGGACCCGGTGCGAGATTTAAAAAAAACGCCTTTGAAACTCAACACTCGGTTTTTCTGTGGCCAGCATTACATTACAGAAATTGACAAACGCCGTTCGTTAGGGGCGCCGGAGTTTTGTCTTTGTCAAAGTTAGTCAGTAGGAAAATACTATTTCAAGGGAAGATAACTCCCAATGTTTGTTGTTGTTTTTCAGGAAATGTTTTTGTGATGGTAGATTCCATCATACGATTCAATTGATGATATTTTAATATCGAAAAGGATTTTGGTGATATTCAGAAGGTATGTAGTTTGTGATTAAAATCAACCACATGGTTACATATATTCATTGAGTAATTCGATCGACGTAAATAATTATAAACAGCTGATAAATCACATATCATATCTCACGGAGTCATCGCTAAAGAAAGTGACGGATTCTGACTCAGGTAGCTCGTAGCCAGATGAATGTTTTTTTTAATACAAATATGGACATGATTTTTGTTACTTATCAGAAACTCTCGGATTCTGTTTTCTGCAAATATGTGAAAGTACGTTTCGACGAGTAAAAGCATTCCAGGCAACAGAAAATGTGAAAACAGACAATAGCATGTTAATTTGTTTTCTTGTCTAGATGTTTTCCACGTAAGACACTGATGAAAGCTTATATGGGAGTACATGGTTCATGAAAGGAGTCTGGGACCACACACATGTTCATAAGGTCATTGCCATTCCGATATTCTATTCTTAACAAAAGAGTTATGGTATTAAACTAAATAAAACCTCCCCAATAGGGATGACATTACATCGACAATGCAACAAGCGTGTTGTGAGATAACAGTGTCAGCTGTAGATCACAGAAATGAACTTTTAAGTAAGGTTTTCATTTTAGTACGCTGGATAAGTGATACTGTACTGATCGAGGTCTGCATTTGTTAATAAAAGTGCATAGTACAATTAAATTTCTTTGCTTGTTCCTGCAAAATGCTAAAAGTTTGAATGATTCTAAATGGGTTAAGCTTGCATGTATACAGTAGCTGTGCCTCCTGGTGTATTTCAGTAGCTGGGCCATGTGATGGGTCAAAACTCAAGTCAAGCCGACTCCCCCGTGGTGCCTGTGGGGGCACTGCAGGCTCACCTGGACGTGTTGAAGCGAGTGGCTCACCTGACCTATGAGGAGTTCTGTCAGTCCGTGATGGAGCTTAATCAAATGTAAGGCAATACCTTTGTAATTTCTGCTTTCAAATTCTGAATTCAACATAAATCAGATAGTTACTTGAAATACAACTGTCAAGGTTTGAGGTCTGTTCAATTTCTAGCACATTCAATGATTGACATCCAGGCTGTCCCAAAACTGTTTCTTTTTCAAATTTGTTTAAGATATGGAAAAATGTCCTATCAACATGATCAAAAGATGATGAAAATCATGAAAATGTACTAATGTCATTTGTCTCTTGTAACATGAATAAATTCAATTAAAAAAAAAGATCTAATTTGTTCAATAATATACTGCTCACAAAAAGTAGGGGATATTGAAATTAAAATCAGTGGCACAAAGACAGTAATATAGAGGCCTACAAATAATTTATGTATGATTGAGGAAAAGTATAGGTCCGTCTGAGCATGCCTCACAATGACCACCAGATGCCCTTGCAATCAGGAAAATGGGTGTTAAAATGGGTCTTGGACCAAGTTCATCCATCACTTCACCACTTTCCACAATGCAAAGGTTACGAGAAGACGAAAGATTGAGAGCAATTGGGATGATCCAGGCCGGAAAAACGCAGACCTACACAGCAGCACAACTGCATGTCTCACAGTCAGTAGTCAGCCGGTTGTGGGCACGTTACATTGCCAATGGAAGGGTTCAAGACAGACCCCGAAGTGGTCGTCCAAAATGCACAACCAGACGTGATGACCAGCGGAATTACTGGAACCCTCCGTGATCGACGTTTAAATGCAACACAGCTGCAGCAGGTTCACAGACATGCCACTGGCAATCTCATCTCCACACAGACGCTACGAAACTGGCTCCATGCTGCAGAACTTCGAGCAAGGCGACCTTACATCACATTACCCCAAACAAACCGTCACAGACAAGCCCGGCGAGAGTGGGGTCGTCGTCACCAGAGGTGGAGCAATGCCCGGTGGTCCCATGTGATGTTCAGTGATGAGTCGAGGTTCTCTTTAGACTTCAATGATGGCCGTCATCGTGTCTGGTGTCGTCCTGGTGAGCGCCATCAGCCAGCTGCCATGATTCCACATGATCGGTATGGGAGGGGTTCTGTTATGGTGTGGGGTGGAATCACGGTGACAGGCGGAACAGATCTCCACATCTGCCAAAGAAGAGTTATGGGTGTTTACTATCCTGCCATTTGCACACCGTCACGGACAGGGTTTCATCTTCCAGGATGATAATGTCAGGGCTCACCGTGCGCACGTCGTCCTTAGCCATTTGCGGCGGCACCAAATTGAAACTCTTCCATGGCCAGCGATGTCCCCCGACCTCTCCCCCATAGAGCATGTGTGGGATATGCTGGGAAGATGAGTGCAGAGGCGGCATCCCCCATGTCAAGACTTGCAACAACTGGGCGTGGCACTCCAAGAGGAATGGCAGAGGATTCCCCAAGTTCACATTGGTCGCATCAGTAGGAGTATGAGACGTTGGTGTAATGCTTGGTTGGCTGCTAATGGTCATTACTTTCAAAACTGTTTCTTAACATCCTTGTTTCCACATTATTATTGTTTCCCAATGAAAATTAAACATAATTCTGAAGCTTTTCGTCGTAACTTTTCAATATCCCCTACTTTGTGTGAGCAGTATACCATAATTTTTTATGTATAAAGCACTCTTTCGCTTGAAAATACAACTGTGTTGAAGATAATGCATATTATACATGCAGACAATGAGTTTTGCTCTTTTTATCCAAAGAAAAACATTAAAGCAAGCAGAAACAGCATGTCAGCAAATCCGTACCGAATACCCCAGTTAGTCCTGGTATTTCGGTGACTGGTTATAAAAGTGTAATTAATTCTTCAGGATAATTAATCAGATCCATATACGGTATATATAAACTACTCAAAAGACGTTAAATAACACCTGGTGTGACAGATTACCTAAGTAATCTAAAAGAAAGTGGTCTTTATCTTCTTTTGAGTAGTATATATAATGATTCTAGACACTGGTCTCTGCAACACCTAACAAAGAGAAGTAAACTTTCTATGACAGAAGTAAGTACAGGTTCATGTCACTGTACAAGTAGTAGAATATGATCATCATTTATATACACACTATTACACACTTGATAGGGAGAATCAGATATTTCGTTCTATTTAAATATTCACCTGACATTATGAGACTAATTGTTGTGTGTCAAGGAAAGATAAGAAAAATATTCCTATGAAAAGTGGAGTAGTATGTAACCCCACTTCACTGATCGACCCAAAAATCTCAATGGTTAACAAAATAGAACATATTGTGCAACTTGAATTTTTTATTATTTTGACCAGAGACCGTATACCAATATATGGTATATATGGTCTTTATTCGCTCTGTTTTGACCTACTAATAAAATGAATGAATTTTTATTTGTTTTGACCTAGTCATAATTATGAATGAATTTTTATTTATTTTGACCAGAGACCATATACCGATATATGGTCTGTATGGTCTCTGTTTTGACCTACTCATAAAATGAATGAATATTTATTTATTTTTAAGCTCTCATAATATGAGTAGGTCAAAATAAATAAAAATTTAAGCTTCTTAATGTTATATTTTTCAAATTTGTTTAAGATCTTCAACCTGTGAAGATCTGGGTTAAATTAGCCATCAGCAACCATGCTTGTCGTAAGAGGCAGCCAGCAGCTTCACTGATTTGGTTGATGCATGTCATTGTATCCTCATTGTGTAGTCATGTTTGGTCATGTGACTCACAGACAGTTTATATACCGGTAGTCTCTGACTTCCCATCAACATTGCACTCCAAACAAATCAAGGACCAATGAACAATTTCAATAAATACATATAGAAAATAAATATATTGTAGAAACATGATCTTGTTTTACAGTATATGAATGGTATATGTCCAGTATTTGATTTGATGTTAAACCATCATTTAAGAGACAGATACTTGTTTGAATAAAAGATGTAAATGCACTACATGTCTTTAAACTTGGCATTAAATATGGCCATCCAGAAGTGACTGGTGCATATTTCTTGTTTAGAAAGTAATCGGGGATAGTTAGGTGTTATATTTTGATGACTTGGTTTACAAAATGTTGGCCTAAAATTCAGTGTAGGTGGTCAAATGTTTATTTTGAAAAAATCAACTTCCAGATTAGTACAGCTACTAATGAATGAAAAGCAAACTTGTAGGTCACACCATCACGGAAGCACAAATGCAAAACGATACTGAAAGATAATTAGTTCGTATTTTTTGTAAGAATAAAGATTTTTATACATATTATACCCCATTTCTTACAAACGGCAGTGATAAAATCTTGTGGTTTTTTTTAAATTTCACCTTATCCTAAAACAGAAACAGGCCAAATTGTTTTTGTGAATTTTTTGTCCTTTTTTCTTAAGTATGTTTCTTTAGTCGGTCAGTCTCCTAAAACAAACCAAAAATATGTGAGGCCTTAAACATTTCAGGGATTACCATGTACTGTATTTTTGCATCTAAAGTTTCAACCCATGTATAGGCGTTTTTAACTGTCTTACAAGAAACATAAGGTCGTAGCTAAGAGCCTAGATCCTGTTATTGAGACTGTCAAAGTTATACAATAGAGATTCTGTTTCCAAGTTTTTTATACATTCAGAATCTGCAATAGGGGAAAAAAGGAAATCTCAAATTGTTTAGATTTAAGAAATCTGTTTTGAAAATAGGGGCTGCTAAGAGTCTTAAGTCTGTATATTCAAGTTGTTCTGTAACAGCACTTGTTATCAACAGCACCAAGACATTCACTGACCACCGCGGGAAACAGCTACAGTTCCATGTGAAGAAGGGCTCGGACACGACTGTCCTGTGGAAGGCCACGGTCAGGGTCAGGTGCATGAAGGTCAGTTAAAGCCTGAAGGTCATATAAAATAACTGATAGAAATATTTGTCATTACTTGTTAAAGAATCCTGTTTTCTGATCTGCCATTTGCCCTCCTGTACAAATCTCTGTCATATAAATCAAAGTCTTAGAAAAATTTCGTAGATTGATGCTCATGATGTCAATCACTTAATTGTTTGGTCCAGACTTGATTATTTACAAACCACTGTCATTTGGGCTGGAATATTGCTGAGTGTGGCGTTAAACAACAAACAAATGTGATATTATTTCAGACTGCAGTGTGTGATAACTGTGTGAAAGATTTCAAGGACAAGTAGTGGACATTGTGCTACTTGGTTTTATATTCATAGAGATACTGATGTTTTTCACTGGTACATAGAAGAAGGTTATTTATGGATGTCTAATGTCAAATCACAATGACTAAACAAATCCTGAAACAAGTTTGAATTTAAGATCTTTGATCATTGATGCCAGTTCATCCTTGAAACTGGGGACTTAGGCCTGAAATTGCCACGGGGAGATTAGCATTGGGTACTGGGGACCTATTCTAAAATATAATTGGGGTTCTTTTATACGAGGGGTAGTTTATATGTTTGAGTAGTTTATTGCAAGTGTATTTGGACTGTTGAGGTCATTTGTATATGCCAGCAAGTTGAACGTAATAGGGGTCCAAATGGACACAGAAATGGAAAAGAACGAGTACTGAGCAGTCATCAAGCTTAAGAGAAAAGTACTCCCCAAGAAATTCATGACCGCTTGTCACAAGTGAAAGGGGATAAGTACCCTAGCTATTCAACTGTTAAACGTTCGGCAGCTATGTTAAAGACTGGGAGAACAAGCATTGATGATGACCCTAGGTCTGGATGCCCCTCAACTTCCATCAATGATTCAATCAAAGAGATAGAAAAACTCATACTGTCAGATAGATATATTTGCTATTGCAGAACTTGAGGAAGACACAGGTCTAAGCCATGGATCCATTTAAACTATTATTCATGAACATTTATAGATGAATAAGATATCAGCTCGTTGGGTGCCATAGTTTCCAAATTCTGATCTTAAGGAAAAAAGAACTGACACAGCAAGAGAAAATTTAGAGCTAATTGAAATTAAAGAGATTAGTAATGGGTATGAAGCATTGGTCTACCACTTTGATCCCTAATCAAAATGTCACCAAAGATATTCAAGACCTAAAGATCAGAGAAGAAAGTTATGGCAATGGTATTCTGGGATGCAAAGGGTGTGATCCTTGTTGATTACTTAGAAAGTCAAAAGACGATTACCGGTGCCTACTTTGCTGATTTGCTTCATCGCCTGAGGGATTCTTTCAAAGAAAAAGTTGAGGAATGCTAACTGCAGGAGTTCTACCGCATCATGACAATGCCTCTTTGAACACCTCTCAACTTGCAAAGGCTGCTGTGCGATAATGGAGGTATTTGACGGCAACGATGACCTCGTAGCTGCCGTGAACGGGTTTTTCAGGGTGGCTTCACAAAACATCTTCCTGATTGGAATTGAAAAGCTTCACGACTGATATGAGAAGTGTATTGGAAAGCAGGGAGATTATGTTGAAAAACAGAATTAAGAACACTTTCACAATTGTTGGTCTTGTTTGTTAGGCTTGTTAGAACTTTTTGACCAGCTCTCGTATCAATCAATTTGTGATCTTTTAAACACATATTGGCCTTCAAAATGTCACATTTATTTTCAGGTAAACACACATACCAATAAGTTTGAGTCCTCACGGCTGTTGTCATTACGTCAGTTTATCGTCATGTATCGTGAGATCGCGGAGCAAGTGGACAACCTGTCCGCCATAAAGCCACCCCTTGGCTCGACCCCTCTCGACCTCACAGCTTCAAAGATATTTGATGAGTAAGTTGAGACATGTTTGTTTAGCAGTCTTGTTTACGTAAAGTGTGACTTGACACAATGTAGTCCTGTGGTTGATGTGTCCGCTTGTCATGCACAACATCTGTGTTTGATTCCCACATTGCGTTCTCAATACTTCACGAGTTTGTGTTCACGACATTTCTCCATCACACTTGGATGAGCGATTGAAGCAATGGCGTGATTGCAGTGAGAGGGAGGCCAATGAGAGCTCAGCTCAGTCAGTGCTCCGATTACATCGGTAATATTTCCCATGTAACAGGTAGTGTGTAATGTTTTACTTATCCTGCATTTTTCCTTATCATAATATGAAAAGGAATACATCATCCGTCGCGGACCAAATGTTACGTGGTAGCACAACGCTAATCACATAAATAAGCCAAAGTTTGAGGAGCAAAACAAAGCACAAGTTCCCAATAGAACGACAGGCAGGCTTGTGAATTGGTTGTGACATCACAATCGGTCACATGACAGCAGTGATCTGTCCTGCAAAAAGTATCCTGAAGATGGAAACATTCGCCTTCACCCAGGGACCCACGAAGATTCCGGGGTAGAATAGGTCTTCAGCAACCCATGCTTGCCTTAATAGGCGACTATGCTTGTCGTAAAAGGCGACTAACAGGATCGGGTGGTCAGGCTCGCTGACTTGGTTGATGCATGTCATCGATTCCAATTGCATGGATCGATGTTCATGATGTAAATCACTGGATTGTCTGGTCCTGACTCAATTATTTACAGACCGCCGTCATATAGCTGGAATATTGCTGAGTGCGGCGTAAAACAAGAAACCAAACCAAATCCTTCACCCAGGACCATCGTGAAGCGCTTTCTTTCTTTGGTAAGGTAAGCAGTAGATGCATTAAGGAGTAATGCCGGATAAGTATACAAATGTAAAAAATATTTCGATTTGACTAACACTACACATTACTTTGATATTGGGCTATGGTAGGGTTTCGCACAACGTTCATGCACAAAGTACAGTTCATTGGACATCTCCCAGTATGTACCACCTCAGTTCATTGGTGACTAAATATAGTCACACATATTTTGGGATGAAGTGTCAGTATGGATAGACCAGTGCTTTCATGTTTATGATATGACATTTTGTGCAGAGCTGATACTTTTTGGAGTGAAAGAGAACATAAAAACAGATAAAGTGTTTGATTTACTTTTACTAATTGCAAAATTCTATATTCATGGATGCAAATTCCAAAATACAAAACCTTATTTTCATGTTTATAAAAAGGAAGCTTTTTCATGATACAACATTGAAAAAAATATTGCTTTCAAGACAGAAAAATCAGCAGAAATTCTATGGAGCTTGGATGCTGTATCATCAACTTTTCGAAAATGAAGAGCAGTTTTCAATTTAATTTTAGTTTTGTACTTAAGACTTTAATGTTTGAGGCCATGTACTTTTCTACACTGCAATATGATATATAAACTTTAATAGTTTATGCATACTTGATATATGCAGTATGTTTGTATTACTAGAGTGAATGTGTGAGTGAGAAGTATGTTATATTCTGTAAAAAAAACCTAAGATGTACTGACAAGTGCTGTATGTCATGGGCTTTCTGCTACCCTGGGTCGAAGCACATTTTATGTAACAAGTACTTCTTTTTAAAAACAATTAAAAAAATACACCACCTAGTTGCTTTATATATTCACAAACCCGTGAAGTATTTACAATGTGTGAAGTCAAAGGTGTGAAGACCAGTGTGGGCCATATTTTTAATTTAGGTAGATCTTATTGAAAATAAAAATACAGGTTTTCAGCTAGTATTTATCTTTTTTTTATTCTGCTTAGTGGGAATAAATAAGTGCTAATTCTATTTAAAGTAAGGATGTTTTATGTTTTACAGTAACCATGGTAACAAGTATTATGTATTTACTTCTCTCAGAGAATGCTTTAGTTTCAATCTGAGGTGTTTACTGTGGCCAGAGATTATCTATACAATTGAATTCTTTTTAGAAAGTGAACAGTTACTTCCTGTTTTTGTAGTTAAATCTTTTTATTAGTCAAGTCCATTAAAAATAGAGCACTATTTTCCCTTCCGTTCAGCCCTTACTGTAATGCTTTGGCCCTAAGTGAAGCAAGTCTAGATTTTCCACAAGTTCAGGAATCTCTGATCTGACTGAAGCTCCTTTTCAATATTAAATGTAGTTGCTTGTTTCTATCAAAATTGTAAAAACTGAACAAAAGATTAGGAATCAGGAATATTTTATGGGAACATATAAAAACATTCTTGATCCCTAACTTTTTTTGTTCAGTATATTTTCAGAGACTAAGTGTAAGTCTATACCAAGTAGTGACCTAGAGAACAGCTGGCGCTATGGTAACCACAGCTAACCTGAACACCTGACATTGGAAGCCTGGATCCTGCTGTGCTGGCTACTGATAAAAATGTTAATTTCAGGGTGGCTGCATCTCACCTGGGCGTGGCAGATGAGAACGAGTGTTGTATTTGTATGGACCGGAAGTCCGAGATCATCCTCTCCTGCAACCACGAGTTCTGTGAGACCTGCATCGACTCCTGGTGAGTTCTGCTGCTTTTGTTTGTTTGTTGTTTATCGTTGCACTGATCAATATTCCAGCTAGAATACGTCGGTCTGTAAATAATCAAGTCTGGACCAGAGAGACCATTGATTGATGTCATACTACTGATCTACGCAATTTGGATACAATGACATGTATCAACCAAGTCAGCGAGCCTGACCGCCCAATCCCGTTAGTCACTTCTTACGACAAGCTTAGTCACCTTTTACGGCAAGCATGGGTTGCTGAAGACCTATTCTACCCAGGATCTTCTGCTGCTACTCAGCAATACTGAAATGTTTATGTTTTATGTGAAGGGGATGAAAAGTCCACAGATCTGAGGACCTGGACCAGTGCATGTATTAATGGGACAAAGAAATTTATTCATAAAAAAGTCTGATGGTCCAGCCTGTTTCATTCACTGTTGTTACAGAAAAGTCTTGATTTGGTCTTTCTGATGCAATCACACTGAAGTGAAATACTGGAAGTTTACACATCATTAACTCACCGGGAAATACAAATTTTTTTTGACAGGGTACAGTTACTAAAATTTGCCAGTCAGCCACCATTTGGCATGTATCATTCCTTGCTGTTTATCATTTTAGACATGAGCATGAACATGAGTGTAAATTCATTTACCGTATGCGATGTAATAAGCGCCCAGGGCGCTCTCAAAATTAGAAATAGGGGGCTCTTATTAGAATATAAATTTGGTGAGAGAAAAAAACAGGTGGGAGATCGTAAATTTCGTGGTTTATGCTGACAGCCTGAAATGATACAAAAGAAAAGTCTGTGCGTACTATACACGACAGATATATCTTCAAGAATTTAATTGCCCATAATTAAGGGTGCATATAACACATGAATGCACATTATATACAAATAAATAAGTCTTGTGTACATTGATCAATCGGAAGGGGTGATAATTGGGATTGTTCACTAGCCAATATATCAGCAAATATCGCCCTGGGCGCTTATTAGAGCGGGGCGCATATTACGTTGAATACAGTATTTATTTTCACATATTTTTGGTGTGTCTGTGTGATAGTTGTGGTGAGGGGATCATCTGCTGTGGATATGTGGAATGTGGATATTTACTTATCCTGCATTAATCCTTACCATAATATGAAAAAGAATACACCACCCGACGCAGACAACATATACATTGTATTACAAGGTAGCAGAACGCAAGCCACAAACTTAGGCCAAGGTCAGAACTCATCTCTGGTTAAGACTAGAACATGTTTGTGAATTCTTCATTTGAGTGAGTGAGTGCGTGAGTATGGTTTTACATTAGCAATATTCCAGCAACATGATGGCAGGACTCATCAGATTTAACTGATGGGGGAAGTTGACACAGTGGCCTCACACACTCCAGTCTGCCCTACCAGTGGTAACATCAGGAGCCACTGATCCTTGCCCTGTCAGTACCATACCACTGCTTGTAGGATGAAGTTAGTGGTAAATGTTTATAATTTGCGTTTTACTCCCAAATTTAAGGGACACAGCATGGTAAGATTGGAATTCATGGCACAGACACTGACACAGACAAACATAGACTGAGAGACAGACAGACACACAAACACAGACACACACATATACACAGACACTGACACAAACAGACTGAGAGACAGACAGACACACAAACACAGACACACACATATACACAGACACTGACACAAACAGACTGAGAGACAGACAGACACACAAACACAGACACACACATATACACAGACACTGACACAAACAGACTGAGAGACAGACAGACACACAAACACAGACACACACATATACACAGACACAGACACTGACACAAACAGACTGAGAGACAGACAGACACACATACACACACAGCCAGACACACACAGAGACACAGACACTCACACACACACACTATTGGTTGAGTAAAGGCCACGTCGGACACCTTCCTCACATAGAATCGTAACATCCCATGTTTTCTGTTCAACAGGAACGTGGCACATAACACCTGTCCACTATGTCGGAGTAAAGTGGAGAGTACCGATGACACCTGGGTCCTGGCCGAGAAGCCCCAGAGCTCCGACTACGAGTCAGAAGTCAAGGGCTACCTGGTTGGTTTGGCAGATCGGATGCACGAGCCTCGTCACTGATGCAATAAAACTCCTTGACTCATCACTTCCCACCATCATGCATCCGGACACGTGTGGAGACTGTTGGGATGGTGCAACTTGGGAAGCTCCTGTTTAGACTCCTGCAGCCCCATGTTCTACATGTACATTTCAACTTGGCAATGAAATATTGTATTTCCTGGCGCTTTCAAATTGCATATTGGTCATGTTCTAGAGCTCTCTCATTGATCCTAGCACCTGTAGATATTGAAGTGCACATGCAAGATTTGCACCGGGTTGTATATATATTTCTGTTGTATACAAAGCTATTTCATTATTATACTAACATATACTATGACATGAATTGGAATTTTTGTTATTCCAATTAAGGAATTTTGCTGCATACTTGGGATGGAATATCAGCCTCTGAGCAGGTCTAGATAAATCCCAGGGAGACTGTTGAGAAGCTGATTTTAGAGTCCCTAAGCCAGATTTGGTTTAATCTTTCAGTATCACAAAGGAATCTTTAAGTTCCTGGTTCAGTATTATATTGGTCATCATTTCCCCCTGTGTATTTGATTGATCCTAACACCAGCAGGTATTGAAGCAATCATGCAATATTTGCACCAGCTTGGTTTATCTTTCTATGGAATATGTTTCTTGATATTTCTGATAAAGAACATTTCAATCAACTGTTGACACTCCAAGGTCTGTTGAAGTATATTCATGCAGCAAGCATGTTTGACACACAGTATGTCATTGTTGGGAGACGTTTAATTGTCTTTTCTAACCCCAAACTACCAGGCCCTGTCAACGGCCACAAAATTACAAGATAATAATTGAGAAAATATTTTTATTTGGGCATGACATTTTTACAAAACTGGTATTTTCAGTTAGGCTATACAATAATAACCAAATTTCATCGCTTGATTTTGTGTTTAAGGGAAAATATTTGTTAAAAACCGGGTGCCAAAATGATGGATGACGGACTATAGTCCACAGGGCCGTAGGAACAAATAAGATACCGGTATTCCTCTTTCAGTGTTTCTTGCCTTTTGAATGCCAAAAAAGATTATTAATTGCCATATCGATTAACTTAGATGGGATCTTAAGATATCACATCAAGACTTTAGGAATGTTTGAAAATATAACATCATGTTTCATGAATTGATGATGTAAAAGTCATGACATTATGTACATACTCTACCTGACTTTTTGTTCATGTGATAGTGATAATCAGTTTGCCATTACGGCTGAGCCTGCATACAACTGCAAAATGTGCTGAGTAAGGGTTAAGGGACCAACAGTTATTTCACCCCCCGGAATGGGAAACACAGCCTGGATGTGTGGAGAAGATAAATGGCGAGAAGCAGTTCGGTGACAGTGTTTCCATGTTGTTGAAGTTACTGTGAGAGAGTTGGTGTTAGATGTGCCATTGTTGTGACTGATTGGCAGCCCTGTGAAATTGGACTGCTTGACGGTTTTGTCGGAATTGGACCGCCGCCAGTGATGTTTCAAGTATCTACTTCTAAAAAAAATATGATTGGCATTAGAGAGTATTCTTCCATGAACTTCTTCCAAATTGCCCCAGGGAATTCTTTTTTATGACACATCATTAAAAGGTCAAAGGTCAAGAGAGAGAAAAAATATATAAATTGTTGTGGTTGGCCTTTAGTAAAAGAGTAAATACATTTATCATTCAACTTGGTCTGTACCTTCTATGGGATGGGGCCCAGATTTCAAGGTTGGATGAAGATTGTCAGAGTCATTGCCTGGCCTGGCCTATACGTGTATGGGTTTGGAATGTTTTATTAAACGTTTTGTCATAATATTTATTTCAATTTATGTGTAACATTGTATATACAGGCAACGGACATGAAATTATTTAATGGCAGTTTTCATTTGTTACAAGTAGACCGGTGTCCCTGCAATATACTTTCAAAGAACTTTGGTTTAGGGTGTTGGACAACCGCCTTAGATTTTGTTCTTAATGACTCTTTCTATACCCGGTAATATACAGAACTCAGTTGGAGAGCTCATATGCCCTACCCTCACACACTTCCATTCTCTGAACTTGTACCAAGGTCACATCATTATATATTTTAAATAAAACAGTAGTTTAAATATTTAATGCTGCATATTGAAAAGCATCAAATATATTGTGTAAGTGGTTTGTTAACTTTCCATGGTATTTGTAAGTAGGCATATATGGTGATAAGAAATAGAAAGACAGATATGTCACATGAAATTCAGTAAACTACAGTTTTAACGAACTCAAAGGGACCACTTATTTTAGTTTGTTATAACCGTAGTTCGTTTTGAGCGTATTTACAGCATGAATCTTCGGGTGCAGTGTTTGGGCTAGGGTCATGGTAGCTTGATTCTGTGCATGGAAAATCTCGCAAAGAATTTTGCACAGTTGAAGTGTTTGCTCCACTACAAAATTGCCAAGTTAGAGACAGTGACCAAAAGTAAATACAAGTACTGGGCATCAACATGTGTGACCTTGACCTTGAGCAGTGTTCAAACCATTTGTGACCAACTCGTGTTATTCCAGGACAAGCCGAATAGCGACTCGTGGCCATTTTTGCAACCGGGTTCCGTCCTAGCGCAAACGGGCATACCTAAAACAATTGTCAACTCGTTGCGCTCATGGTTCACATATATTTCCCCATATATTATATATATTTCAGATGCAATTTAAAGCACATCAGGACATGCGAAATTATCCAGTATGATTGAACACATTTAACTGTGTCTTGGGTATAGTTTTAGATGCAAGACATATGTAAAAACAGAAATTATTTCTGAGGGATTCTTTGACGAAGAACTTGAAATTGTACGCGCATTCTGATTGGTTTGTCGTATTTTCACACATAACGTTCATCGATAGGGGGACGAGTCTTCTTGCAGGTTATGGAAAGGGGGGAGTGGTGCCGAATGTGTTCAAACATTAATATGCTGTCGGGCCAGAATATGAGTATTTCTTTCTTCCTGTTTCTGTCATTATTAATCAAATGTTTTTATGTTATGGCTGTCCTAAAGTTGCATAAATCAAACTGTTCATGTTGTTTTGGTATTTAATGATGCTGCGATGCACAACTGGTTTATTTCATTTTATAAATGAGGTCAATTATTATTCCTTGAAATAAAAATCGTTGAGTTATATAGAATTAATAGAAAAATGTGAAAAATTCTTTAGTATGTATAGATTGATCAGTACTTTGTTATTATGTTGTTTGAAAAATGAATGAGATTTGTACTTGACTATAGGATGGGTGTAGGTTGAACCTGGTACGACCCTGGTTGGATTCCAAGGGACATAACTCTTGGTGCTCCAACCCTCCCAGAATCAGTTAATGGATTGAATTTTGTATGTTAGAAAGTAAAATTGTCCAACAAACCAATCGTGATATGGTTTGCATGGTATTCTGTGATATTCCATAAAAATAACTGGTATTCAATTCATTGATATTCAGTGGTATTTTTGGATATTTTGCTATATTCAGTGGTATAGTGCGATATACAGTGGTATTTGGGGATATGGTATCCCATCTATTCCACCATGCTATTAGCCTGGTTTGTCAGTGGTATAGTGCAATATACAATGGTATTTGGGGATATGGGATCTCATCTATTCCACCATGCTATAAGCCTGGTTTGTCAGTGGTATAGTGCGATAAACAGTGGTATTTGGGGATATGGTATCCCATCTATTTAACCATGCTATTAGCCTGGTTTGTCAGTGGTATAGTGAGATATACAGTGGTATTTGGGGATATGGTATCCCATCTATTCCACCATGCTATTAGGCTGGTTTGTCAGTGGTATAGTGCGATATGCAGTGGTATTTGGGTATATGGTATCCCATCTATTCCACCATGCTATTAGTCTGGTTTGTCAGTGGTATAGTGCGATATGCAGTGGTATTTGGGGATATGGTATCCCATCTATTCCACCATGCTATTAGCCTGGTTTGTCAGGCTTTTCATTTGTTTTTAGCTCGGGTTACTGATCACCCAACCCTAAAATGTAGGAATGTAAATAAACAATAATAAATTCTAGTTCATTACTTTTAAAATATTTCCACCCACAATCCCCAGCCTGATAATGAGTCTCTTCAAAACAATATATCCCAAACTGTTTTCCCTGTCTTGCCCCGTTTAGTGTTACATGCTCCATGACCTGAATGACATGTTCACTCCAAGCATTATACATGTAGCCCAATCTCATTAAAATCAGATCTTAGTTCTCGCTACCGCTAAACAAAGATCTGAGGACATCCCATTACGGGTCACGTCAGACCGACATTGCGCGAACTTTGCCTGACCAATTGAATGACCAATGAGAAGGAAGCTTTCTCGGGCTTTACAGCACAAATTTCAAAGTGGCGACTACACTTGAAACATATTTTGACAAATTCTCGATTACAAATTTGAAACCTGAACAAAAATACATTCTGGAATAGCTAATAGATGGTCTAGGTTGTATGGATTCAGTCGTTAAACCCCTAACTATCGTTCGGAATACCCCATGTTAAAGTTTTCGAGATTGCATGATTAGAAATCACATTCCGACTGTCACTTTCATAATCTGGTAAGCGACGCACTGATTGGTCGGATGAAAGGTTGTCTGACGTGACCCCTAATGTGATGTCTTCAGATCTTTGTTTAGCGGTAGTGAGTACTAAGGTCTGATTTTAATGAGATTGACATTTATGATTATGCCTTCTTTGGCTTTGTTCATCCTACTGAAGAAGCCATCTTGTTTCGAAGATATGGTGGTACTGAATGTCTGTTGATTGTTTTATAAATCCTGAGCTGACATGGATGATGTTTAAACAGTTTAAACAAACTATATTATACTTTCTTACAGAGCTGTGATATTTCAGTGTTAGACAGTATTGTATTACAGTGTTGTTGTTGATGTGACTGTATGCCTTGCATACAGTAATTGTTGATTGTTGGCCAAAAAAAGAAAATGATGTTTTTGTATACAGAATGCAGGAATGATCCAAACAGTGTCTCTCACTGACTTTCAAGTGTGATAAGAGTGACCTGCCCATGTTTAGAGTTCCCTGCCCTTACCAAGAGCTAAATTCTGGAAGTAATGTAGGGGTGTGGAATTCTGGAACAACAGATTTCCCTTTTTTGGCCAAGCCTATTTATTTGAGTGTTTTTGTCATCATAATCAAGAAATATGTATCCTATTAATATTAAAAGTTTCAGATGGAGTTTCAAACTATATCTATATGTTTAGACCATGTTTGTACTCTCCATTAGCCTACCAGCTTAAGAGAATCATAAATTATAAATGAGCATGCTAAGATAACATGGTGTGTCTTCCAGTGTTATGTTTAACAGGCTGATGGTTGAAGAATTGTTGCTGCCTTGATTAACAAACATTCTTTTGGAAAAAATCATTTTGAGATATATTTAAGGCTTCAGGCTGAGCAGTGTTGGGGAAGATTCTAAGGACCACTGTCATATAACTGGAATGTTGCTGAGTGTGTTAAACAACAAACAAACAAGCAAAGTAAGAGCTGACAACTGGGGATCGGGTGGGTACAATGGCTGCATGTGTGGATAGTTGCTCATGCAGTCGACCACTGGTTTGCCTAGTCCAGATTGATAATGTACCAGCTGCAGTGATGTAACAGGCCTTGTGCTGACACTTGGAAGAAGCTCCACACAGTCTTACTTAGTTGGCTTTGTTTGGAGTATTTGGTGGCACATGATCCTGTGCACAGCGCACAGCGCACAGGTCACAAATCAGGTGAAGCTAAGCAACGTCAGTCTCAGAGAGTAGTTGGAAGCTTGACTCCTGAGAGTTTCTAGGGCTTCAGTCCTGCCCCACACTGAAGCACATGTACCACATGTGGTGTCTTTGTGACTTTGTTCGAAATGTGCCTCTGTTCACTCAGCAGTGAATGGGTACCCGGTAGGATGAGATGGTAATGTGGCTGTTAATCTTCTAGCACCTTACAGGCAGCTTTGGGTTGTATACTCCCCAGGGAGCTGAGAATGAAAATCGAGCGCTCGCTGATCCATTGATCAGGGTAATAATGGTTTAGCGCTTTGAGCATGAACTGCTACATGGAGGCTAGCGCATTATAAGTGCACATTATTATTATTTAATTATTGTGTATGAATATGTAGGCCTACTGCGTAATGTGATTCTAATCATTCCTACTCATCTAATAACACCTGATGTTGCTCATGCAGTTATTGCACAGGAATCTGTTGTGAAAATTGGAATTCATTATACATAGACGAATATCCGACTAAAGGCTGAACAGTCTTAGCATAACACCACTGCCACAGGCAGATTTGCCTACTGTAAATCCTGAAACTAATGCGTCTCCAAATTAATACGACTGCTGACCCCTAGCCAAAAATGTGACTCAATATCAATGCGACTCCCCGAACCCCATCCCCAGTGGAATGATGCATATCCTTACCTTAATCCAATCAAACAGCAAATAGCATAGCCTATTAGCACTGAGTAAAGCACTTCCGAAATAACTATAAACAGTGTTTTCCTAAAAACAACTCACAGTTTATATGTTTATTCTGTTGACTGCCATTAAGGAAGTTCAAAGGCAATAAGTAATTGAACAGCAGTTCACTGATTGGAGTGGTCAATGATGCCTAGTTTGACACGAGTGTGTAGAACTCTTGACCCAAGCAGTGATAACTCACCGGATGCCTCTTGTGTAATTCCTATTCTTTAAATGACATTGTTATATACTTGTTACAACTGTTGCTCAATAAACTGTGTTTGTGTTTATATTCAAGTTGGTATTTCTTATTGTTGATAGTCATTTTGGAGACATAAATGCGAACAAAGACCACTCTCATTTTTCGCATTTAAAAAATTCACGCTCGCATTAATTTCAAGATTTACAGTATCATGTGACCAGACTTTTCTCTTTTTTTTGTAAACAAACATGCTTATTATGAAATCAGAACAGACTAGTCTATTGCAAGATCTTTGGGGCACTTTATGTTGTTTTGCATAATTATATAGATATGCTACTACAACTGTGACAGAGAGGTGCTTGACAATATATATTTATACTTCAAAGTGACCGTATCTCTAGCTCTCCGTAGGGCTTCAATGACAGCACATGGAGCCATACAACCAAAGTAAACAAAGAATAACTACGCAAATGGAAATAGTTTTTCACGTTTTAGGATATTAACGCCAATGAAAGTTATCCCTTCTTTGACATCTGTTTATCTAGATGAGTAAAGTTGTCAAAAATGAAACGGATAAAAAACATATGCAGTATCTTGAATGGACTGTGTAAGATGTGACGAATCATCACATGTCTGTGGCAGAGGTACAATGCTGGTTGCATGGAACTCTGGGTTGAGATGGAGAAGAGAGTGGGAGATCTCTATTAGAAATAGAATATTTTCACTGCTTCAAGTTCTTTGAACAGAGGGGCCAAACAAACATATGAAAATCCCAAGATTTATTTTCTGGATAATTCAACACATCCAGTAAAAAATATCTTTTGTGTGTAACCCCTGAGGCACAAGTATTTTTTATCAGTTAATTTGGGAACAAAGTTTGTTAGACAAAAAAATCTCAGTCCCAGTAATATCGAAATGT